AATGGGTGAGGGTTTCTTACCAATAGAACCGATACCAATGATTTTACCTTTCTCACCACCACCGAAGGAGACATTGCCTCCTTCAATCCTTGATAGGGTTGCAAATAACTCTTTGTTGCCCGTCATATGATGTGAGCAACCACTATCAAGGTACCACATCTCCTTACGTCGTTGCCGTGACGTTCCCTACAAAAGAAGAAGATGAAGGTGTAGTAGCTTTAGGTACCCATGTCTTGGGTCCTTGGTGGTTAGTAGTCTTGGTACCTTTGGGTACCCATATCAATCCATAAAAATCTTGGTTGTCTTTAATTCTACAATGAGTAGAAATGTGTCCATGTCTCATACAATAGGTGCATACAAAATTTCTTTTGTATGTATGAATGTTAGAACCATGAAACCTATTTCTATCATGGTGATTATAGTTAGCATAAGCATGAGTGGGTCTAGTTCTACAACTCTCAATTTCTAATCTTTCAATCTTTGATCTTAATTGCTTATTCTCGAAATCGAGATCTCCTAGCAATTCATCTTTTAGAGCAAGAGAGGTTGTTAGTTGCTCTAGCTTAATATCACAAGAGGTATGCAATTTTTTGAAAGAAGAGTATTCTTTAGACATTCTTTTAAATTCAAAGTTCAACTCTTCTAAAGCCATAGCTATGTCACATTGCATATAGAAAGATTCACTTTCGGCCTCGGATATTACCTCATGTTCATTTTCCATGAAACAAACATTTGGGTCATGAAGAGCAAGTTTGGCTCCTTCTTCATCACTATCCGAATCACTTGGTTCGGATTCTTCCCATCCGGCATACATAGCCTTCTTCTTCTTGTACTTCATGTACTTTTCTTTGAGCTTGGGGCAATCCTTAGCGATGTGACCCGGTTCATTGCACTCAAAACATTTACCTACACGAGAGGAAAACTTGTTGTTAGATCGGGGGTTAAATTTCTTGTTCATTTTTATGAGTCTAGAGATTCTTCTAGAGAGATGAGCCACTTCTCTAAAAAAATCGACTTCACTATCCGATGACGAAGACGAGTTGTCACTAGCTCCTTTGAGAGCTATGGTCTTCAACTTTGGTGACGGCTCCTCAACTTCACGTGATAACACTTCCTCCTTCTCCTTCCCCTTGAGCTTCTTCTCATGCACATTGAGCTTTCCGATGAGGCTATCAAGAGCTAAGGTAGTGAGGTCATGAGCTTCCTCAATGGCCGTAGCTTTGGTCTCCCATGCCGGAGTCAAGGAGCGAAGTATCTTGTAGTTCATCTCTTGAATGGACAATTGCTTATAAAGACCATGTAATTCATTAATGATATTAGTAAAACGGGAAAACATAGCATCAATGGATTCATTAGGAAGCATTTTAAATAGCTCATAATCATGCATAAGACCACTAATCTTAGATTCCTTAACTTGGGGGGTTCCTTCATGTGTGATACATAATTTTACCCAAATTTCGTATGCGGTTGCACACGTGGAAACTCTATTGTATTCATTGGGGGAAAGACCACAAATTAAGGCGTTCATAGCCTTAGCGTTGAGATTAGCTAGGTGCCTTTCTCCATCGGTCTTGTTGGACCCTAGAGGGGGGGTGATTAGGGTCAAGAGGCTCTAATTATGCAATAAAAATTAAGACAATCAAACCACAAAACAGTAATGCAATCAAAGTAAGTGAGATAGGGTTAGGAATCGTTATCCTTTGACGCGCGATGTGTTAACGAGGTTCGGTCCGCTGACCTACGTCCTCGCTCCCCACTCTCGAGGAGAAATCCACTACACACCCGGTTTGGAAGCCGGAACTTCGTCTACACAGCGATTCCCTCTCAATCTCTCACTACACAGTTGATCTCAACAGATCCCACACCCTCACAGTTGATCTACACAAGATCACACTCACACAGCAGTAGAAATGATGCAAGACTCTCTCTTTACAAGTCCCTATGGCAAAGAGAAAGAGTACTGAAGCTGGGAAGTGAACTCACACAAGAAACACAGTGAAAAACCACAGAGAACAGAGTTAGAAAATTTTTCTCAGAAGACAGCGTCTCTCTGGTTTTTCAGCAGAAGTTAGGGCAACTGGGAAGAAGAAGAAGAAGTCTGGGTTTAAATAGAAAAGATTAATCATTTTAAAATCACAACCCAATCTTCCCAATTAAGAAAATAATCACCTATTTAGACTATTGCCACAGACTGTGCCAAACACGGTTAAGTGATAGCACAGTAACCAAGGCAACCGACCGTTTGAAAAAGCTCTCGGTTGACCGAATAGAATATCGGTCGACCGCCAGAACATTCGGTCGACCGAAAAGATAAATTCGGTCGACCGACCGAAAATCCGGTCGACCGCGAGCAGCTTAGAAAACGCAGAAAACAAGCAGAGCCATCATCGGTCGACTGGTGCGATCGACCGATAGAAAAATCAAGATTTTGGTCGACCGCACCGGTCGACCGATGACCTCTCTGGAGCCCAGTGACGAATGCCCTTAAGTGCGGTCGACCGGTGCGGTCGATCGCATTCTGATATGCTCCAGAATAGTATTTTGACTCAAACTAAAATATTTAGAAAATATTTATTTGACCTCTGAAAATTATGAAACTTTGTAAAATGTTTTTAATACTAAAAACAAACTGTTTGGAAAAAGAATTTTGCAGATAGGTCCTCATACTTGTGAAAAATAGTATTTTGCGAAAAACGCTTAAAAGCTTAAGTATGAAAACGTGTGTGTGAGTCCCAATAGCTTCAAGTGAATTCAATAACTCTTTGCCTACATTCTATACTAGAGGAGGAATAAAAAACTAGCTAATATCCTCACATAGAATACAATCTTTGAGTCTTGATATAGCTTGAGTTTGGATGAAGCTTTTATATGAATTTGTTGTTCTTGAAATAACATTGCTTCATCACTATGCCTCCTCCTCCTTTGGATATCATCGTTGTAGCGTATATTCCATCTAATCCTCCATGAATGGCACTAACAAGCTTGATAAATGAATTTACTACATTTGCACTCAATAAGTCATTAGTACCGTTAATGGTGGTTGTAAAACATCATCAAAACATAAGGGCTAACAAGAATCTCCTTATTGCATTGCCTAATCTCATTCAGTTCCTCGTCTTCACTACATATAGCAGCTTGAAAAGAATCATCACTGTGGGCACCGTGAACCTCATTCACTGCCTCCCTATCTTCTTGGCCTGGTTCAGGCACACTCTCATTGCCATCCACATTCACTGTCTCCCTATCTTCCTAAGTTTGGTTTAGGCACACTCTCATTGCCCTCTACATTCACTGCCTCCCTAGGTTCATTATTTGGTTTAGGCACACTCTCATTGCCCTCCACATTCATTGTAGGCACTGTCATCCTCTTTCTTTTGCACATTCTTCTTTTTTTTCCTTGCCATTATTGCTAAACTCATCAAATAGTTCATCTTCATCAAAGTCATCATCTACAAATGCCTCCCTAGGATCCACTCTATAATTCTCATCCTCCACAGAGTCGTCACTATCACTTGATGGACTTGACAACTGTTGTGCACTACACAGATCATCTAAAGAGGCTAAAATTAATGCTTCTTGTTTTGGCAGGGTTTCACCGGAGGTTGACAGCTTGGTTGCCCTCCTGGGTGTTAGTTTCTTCCTGGAGGTTGAAGGATATGTTACCTTCCTCTTGGGTGTTGCTTTCTTAGGTGTTCGTTTCTCATTGGCACTAGCAGTGGCTTTCCTAGGTGTTGATCTCCTAGGTGTTGATCTCCTGGGTCCTGCTACTTTCCCCTTCTTTTTAGGAGTGGTCGCTTCTGGCATTTGCATATCTTCTTGTGCTTCAACTGGTTGAGTCTGTGATTCAAAAATTGGTTTACTCACACCTTCCAATAACAGCACATCACAATCTTCCATAATAACTTTTGCAGGTTCATCAATGCCATGTTCAACATAGATTTCAATTGCCTTCACCCTTTCTGCATGTTCTAGCATTTCAATGAAGGAACCTTCATCACTTAGAGACCTCAATCCACCATTTGCAACCCCTGCACCATGAACACAGTAGAACAAGCCGTTGACATTGTTATACCCAATTGCACTAATTTCATCAATCAGTCTTTCTATGCTCAGATCCTCTTTGTCTATAAACCTAACATCAAATCTACCACCAACATACTCTTCAACCCAGCCCATTGGGAAACTTCCTCCATATCTGATTTTAACCAAGATTTGGAGACCCATCTGCAATATCACAATAAAAACCGTAACTCCTCACTAAACCCATCAAAAAACCCTAATTTACAATAAACGTAACTCCTCACTAAACCCATCAAAAAACCCTAATTTACAATAAACCCATCAAATCTACCCTAATTAGTTTCAAAAATATGAAATTTATTTACAATAAACCCATCAAATCTACCCTAATTAGTTTCAAAAATATGAAATTTTCACTCACCTTTTGCTCCTCGCCAAAGACGATGAAGTAGATGGAAGCCTTGAACTTCGATCGTCTGCAATTTGGGGATCGTCATGCTCTAGGGTTCTACGATTTTCTTTTGCAATTTGGGGAAGAGAGGGAAATTAAAAAATGAGAGTGAATTACTGCTCTTCTATGATTTTTTAGACAAACCGCTTGCTTATTCCCGCTAAATATCGCCACGCTGGAGTCCACGTCGAGGCCACGTCGGAGTCACGTGAGCTCTCGTGTGAGAATAATGGCCGGAAAATTGACTCCGGCCAAACTTACGGTCTATATGACGTCGGAGTTAAAATTTTATACCAATCTGACAAAAAATATATATATATACCAACATGTCACAGGGCCTGTAGAAAATATACCAATTTGACCATTTTGCCACGATAACACTCAGCCATTCTAAATACGAATCGGATCCGGGTACAAAATTATACAGCAAGCTCCAGTTAAAAACAAGAACCGTTCGTTTAACAAACCCAATCCTCTCTCTCTCTCTCTCTCTCTCTCTCTCTCTCTCTCCATTCATTCTCACAGGAGAGAAGTCGAGGGCGGTGAACTTACCGCTGGAGGTGGGGACGCGGGTCATGTGCAGGTGGCGCGACGACAAGCTCCACCCCGTTAAGGTCATCGAACGCCGCAAGGTCTCGTCCTCCGCCGGAATTAGCGAGTACGAGTACTACGTTCACTACACAGAGTGTGAGTACTCGAGTCCTGTCACCGCCTCTGCTCTTTTTGTTAGTTCCTTTCATTTTTAGGGTTAGGGTTAGGTTTAGGGTTTTGATTTCTCTGGAAAATATTTGAACTTGATTTCTTCTTCTTTTGTTGGTTCTATAGAAGAGTTTGTTTTTGGGAATTGATTGCTGTTGATTGCCGCCAATTTTTAATTTTCTAGGTTTTGTTACATTGAAATGTTAGTTTTAAAGCTGACTAGATGTAGATATTTTTTTCTTTTTTACCGTCGGTATGAGATTTCTTGAAAAGGCTTTTTTTTAATATCGTTTGTAGGGTTTTCATCAGTTACCATTTCAAACAAGTGTATCTTGTCTTAAATAAAGAAAGGAGTTAAGAATGCAAATAAAGAATGGTTCTGTTTGATCATGAAATTGGAACCTATAAGAACAACCATACATTCAATGCATTTTGTGAAACTAAATAATTTCTTGTTCTTTATAGTTTTTTTGTCGATGGGTAATATAAGGACATTGGTTTGCAAAAAGAATGAGAACGCACCTTTTAATCCGTAGGCTTCATTCGTGTAGTCATTTGAAAATTTGAATATAAGGTTTTGCTGATGTGATATGTCTTCAGATTACTAGGATACTTCTCCAAACGAATACAATATAGTTAGATAGAGCTTAAAACTATTCTCTTTCCGCCAACCAGTTAAATAGGTCCGAAACTATTTATTATGGAATGACAGGTGGATAGACCATTCACAGCCGTAGGATTAGTTCTCAACTAGTACACAATCGGAGTCATTGGCTAATGGCTATAGTGTCTATAGCATATATGAAATCCTTTAAAAGAAAATAGTTGACTGACTGATTAGTGTGCAATTGGTCATGAGTACTTGCATTTGCTTCCAAACGAGGTTCTTTCTATACAAGGATGTAAGTAAAAGGCCTAGTTTATTGGCCTCAAATTTTAATCTCGTTCAACTAGGAAGCTAGAGGTGCTAGTTGGATGGGCGGATCTGGCTTGCATTTAATCACACCCACCTGGCCTTTGAATTTCTAACTGCACTTGTGCTTATCAGGAGCCAGTTAAATAGAACTCACTTTAAAACTATCCAATAAGGTCAGGTCTTTTGGATTTCTAAATTACCTAACAGGATAAGAAGTAGTGGTGGTAACGAGTAGGATAATTCCCCTCATCCTAGATATCTGATACTTTCTCTTGCCCCGATGAGTAATTTATAAATCCAAATTGTACTACCCTTTCTCATTTATCCTTTGAGGGTAAACAAACAAAACATGTAACTTGAGTAAAAAGCTGATCCTGCTGGAAAATTTATTTTATATCAAGTTTAAACAAGATTCACATTTCACACACATAGGCTGGTTGTCGTAGTACTATATATATTATTATCTATGATGGACATAAGAAAAAATTTAGTCCCTGAATTCAGCTCCATGCATCATTGTATTTATTTCTGCTTTGTTAAGAACCATTGCTTTGGTTAGATTATTAGTTTACTTATTCTTTATCACAACACCTGTGTTGGATGGATACCAGTATGGGTACCAGTACGGATACGGGGCACGACAAATTTGCAAAAGTTAGGGTAAGGGACACGGCTATTTTTATGTACACATTTATATTATATATTGAAATTAATAGTTTATATGAGATCAATTATTTTTTTATTCACATGTTAATGAGAACGAAAATTCCTATAACATTTTTCTTTTTCTTTTATTAGGTGGATTATAAATTCTAAAAACACTTGTTTTTTGAGCTAAACACGCAAACATCCATTAAAATCTTAGTTTGGAACCCGATGAGTCTCAAGAAGTGGATGTGAAGTGTAGGATTTATGTATAGGAAATGTTTGACAAGGGTTCTAAATTAAAACATGTATTGTTTAATTGAGTGGATGCTTGAATAAATGTATGCATATATGCAAGGTGTCCAAGGAGTTTGGGTACGGGTACGGGTATGGCTTCAAGATAGAAGTACTCATGTAACATAGGACAACACCAATCCATGTTTAACCAGGCCCACTACCTATGTTGTATAAGTTCTTGTACCATGAAAACATACCAATGTTGTACCCTGGCATGACCGCACAGGACACCAATACTTAACTAGATACTCCTTGGATATATGAATACACTTATTGGAATATTCGCTTATATAAATAATATATGTCTTAATTTAAAACACCTGTCATACAGTTCTTGGATGTACTTTCTATAGTTCACATACACTTTTCAGAACTCACTTGGCATGGGTTGGGTTCATTTCATCTTGTACTCAATTAAAAAAATATGATCGTTATGGGCCTGTTTGGTATCGAGTTAAAAAACAAGATCTTTTCTAATTTATTATCTACCTAATGAAAGAAACATAAAAACATTATAGGTTTTAGTTTTCACAACATGCTAATAAAAAAATTATTGTTGTCTTTTGTGTGTGTGTGTGTGTAGTTGTGTCTCAATACCTCATATTGTACAAATTTCAGTGCTCAATACCCGTACCTGCACCTGTGTAACATAGCCATCTAGTCTCAATACTCTATTGACTGTGAAGCTCAAACCTCAGGGGCATATTAGAGTACATAATGATAACCCTCAACTTTTATCACCTTCAGAATTTTGGTGATGTGTAAGGGACTTTAAGAAGACTAATCTGGGCAGAACATTTCCCATCACCATAAAACAACGATTAACATCAAGCTTGTATCCTGTTTGACTTGTAATTAATGAATTTGCTTGGTGTCATATGGTGCATATTGCCTGCAGTCAATATAATCTTACAATTGATATGAGTGGAGGAAAGATAATACTCAAACTATAAAAGGGCGAGGAGACGCTTTAGTATCTATGACCTTGTTTTGATGCAAGGACTAAATATGCAGGAGTAGTGCATCTTCAAGAGAGTAAGGTAAGAACCTCATGTCCAATCAAGACTTAAGACAATTCAATTTTTTTTTGCTGGAACTGTAGCGCTCCTGACCTCTAAATAGGGGGAAATTTTCAAAATTAGCAATTCACCTTAATGTTTGGCGAAGAATAAGAGAAATTAAGGAGGGAATAAAATGAAAAAGAACCGAGTCTTAATCAAAATTTCCACAAAAAAAAATCAATAAAGAAAGCAAAATCGAAGACAAAAGCCATTTTTAGTTTGTATTGTGTTACTCAGCGACTACAAAAATCCTGAAAGACAGTAGGAGAGATGACCAGCCTGGACATGATGCACGGACAAAGCGACAAGGCCAATTGAACGAGAATGAGGCAGAGGAGGTTGCTAGGATTGATGGCTCAATCAACAATGGTGTAAAAGCCCTAATATAATTTGGCCAGACCTGACAAATATGGGTTCAACCCAATTAAATTGGCCCCTTTTGATATTGACGGCCTGTATATCCCTACATAAGTGAAGTTAGCTGGATATTTGGGCCAAAAAATGCCCAGACATTCCTATCATGTAATTAGCGTATGTAGACATCATCATATTCAGAAGGTTTTCCTCTTCTGTTTTCATAGGAAACAATGTACACTATCTTGAGCTAGACTGTACTAATGCAGAAGCATTCCCTTAACATCAGTTATGTGTTATTTTTTCAGCTATAAAATTTCTGTAGTATTGTAGGAAGCATTTCAGTTATAATTTTTCGCATTCATCCATTATTGATGCACTATTACTGACTTCCTATATTGATTTTGCAGTCAATAGGAGGCTTGATGAGTGGATCAAACTTGAACAGCTGGATCTCGATTCAGTGGAGAATGATGTTGATGAGAAAGTGGATGATAAGGTATTATTTCAAAATAGTTTTGCGCTCAGACTTCTGTTAGAATCAGATTACTTGTATTATCAATCTGATATCCTGAATGATCATCAAGAATCAAATTGATCATAAGAAAATATATAGTGGGTAAGCTAATAGTTAAAGTAGAACCCAAACGTAATGATTTTGAAAATTACTTTTTGCTTATTTCAGGTATGCGGTGCATGCACATGCAATCTCGTAGTTTTTTCTGAATTTAAATTCTCCACTTGTTGAATTAACCCCGAAGCATGGTTTGAAATATGAGGCGTCATGTAATCTTCGTGTGCGTTGTTGTTCCGCTGAGAGATTTCTACCTTATGATTGCACTGAATGCAGTATATGCTTGGATTGCTGTTTACCGTTAGCACTATTTTACATATGTACTTGGTTAATTGGGACTGTTTTAGTCATACTTTGCTGGTGATTTCTGAGAGGCTGTTAGTTATTTTGTCTAAGAAAAAGTTTTTGCATCATAAAAAAAATTATGACTAATTTCGGATTTGCACTGACATTCTGTGGACCTTTCACAGGCAACTAGCTTGAAAATGACGCGTCATCAAAAACGGAAGATTGATGAGACACATGTGGAGGTATGCTTTCTTTACACTACCGTTCTTACTGTCTAGGTTTTACTGTTATTCAATCTAACCTTTCTTTTTTGCTTCTAAAATTCTTCTCCTCCCACTTTGACAATGCTACTGCTAGGAGCTTTGAGTTCTCTTTCGTAGAAATTATTTCCTGCTTTAACATCAATGAGAAAGTCAATGTTAAATACTAAACACTGAAGTTTTATAATTCCAAATCATTTAAAAGTTATCAATCATGGATTTTTTTAAATGTTAGTATTTGTGGATTGATGAAACTTTGCAAGAATTACACAATTATGTAACACATGTCCTGGATATATTTCATATTAGTTAACAAATGTAATCCAATTCAAACTGTATATATTTGTTGTCGTAGTTTTCAAGAGATTTTTCTTTTTGCTGGTATTTTTCTTGTGATATGACTACAATTTTTGTTTTCATTGTACAATTGCTTTATCAAATTTCCAACTAACAAAATGCCACTTGCCTTTTTCGTTCATCAGCAAGGTCATGAAGAGCTTGATGCTGCTAGTCTGCGCGAGCATGAGGAGTTTACAAAAGTGAAAAATATAGCAAAAATTGAACTTGGAAGATATGAGATTGATACATGGTATTTCTCCCCATTTCCAGCAGAATACAATGACTGTTCAAAGCTGTTCTTTTGTGAGTTCTGCCTAAATTTTATGAAGCGTAAAGAACAGCTTCAAAGGCATATGGTGAGCTGCAGCTCAATTTCTATTAGCTGGAATTCATTTAATAATCACAAGTTCATTGAGTGTATCCTAGTGGTACTCAGTGATTGTCTACTTTCTTTCCATGAACTAAATCAGCCTGTTCATTCTGCCTAGTGGACTCAAATATCCTCCTGTCCTTTAAACACTTGTGTCTTGATTGAAGAATTTGACATCAAAAAGATCTTTTTTTCATATCGGTTTAGGTATAACATAAAAGTTATTTTCTGATCTTTATGCTTCGGCTTTGTTAAGAAGTAGATTGTGTGACTCTTTGAAAGTTTGACATGCTTCATGAAGGGAATGTTTAGATGTATTTATTTGCCTATGCAGTTATCTATTTGTCTTGGAATCATTATGCTCCAGCTGGAACATCTTCTCATGAAGATTGACTTTGTTTGCATTTTATTTAGCTTTCTAGTATAAACATAACTTATTTAGTTTCTGGTGAATTTTTAGAGGATAACAAGTTTTGGTGTATAGATAGGCAGTCAGTTGATCAATAGCTGCCACTAGAAAATTCCCCTACTTGAAGGGTTCCAAGATCTTTAAATGGTTATGGGGTGATAGCCCTTAAAAGAACCGATTTTGCAAATTTTACTAAATTAATAACTTGATGAGACATCTTTCTCTGCTTGGTTAACAAATAATTCAAGTATATTGACTTTGCTAACTGTGAACGCATAGGTTTCATGCCATCAACTATTAATGATTTATGTGCCTTCTTTAATCAATGTCACTATTTCACATCTCATACCATATCATATTAATTCATGATGTATGTCCCTCCAAAAGAAAAGAAGTCATGATTCATATCAAAACAGAAATGTCCTGATTACATCTGAAACATAAAACAACTGTTAGTAGTCAGTTCACTTGTTATCCCCTTTTTTTTACGAGAAAGCTTTTGCTATCCGCTTGTAAGCTATATTTATCATCAATGCATGGCTGAAGTGGTGGAGCCGGAAATTTATGATAGGGATGTCATAATATATATAAAAAGATGATATAACTAATATTTCTCTCGTATTCAATGTATCATGAGCTTTTTTGAGATACAAAATATATATTTAACTAAGTAAAAGTACAATAATCCCTACGTATGTTCATGTTTTGAAATTGTTGCATTATAGCCTCATTCGAAATACCACTAAATACACCATTTTAAATGTAAGTTACTAAGTTGTAGTTCAATCATTGATCTCTTGTTCAATTTCGCAAAAGATTCTACATAATTTACATTGCAAAAAATGATCTCTCCATGGAAGCCGTTGTAATTGATAATATCAGTGTTAATTTAATAAGACACTATACCTTTATAATGATGATTAATGAAATTGAATGGTTATCAAATTAAATTGCAATGTTAGAAAGAAAGCTTTTTGGATGTGCCCCATCTTCATTGTCTTTCTTTCTTAAACTGTTGTTTTCTTTTGTACTTCAAAGCCTTAGTTTTTTCTCCTTCTTTGCTTTGTAGAATAAAAAGAGGAGAGGGAGAGGGGGTACTTGTTGGGAGAGAGAAGGAAAAAAATTTCCCGTTTTTAGCTTTGTTAGAATAAACAGGCGGGGGGGGGGGTTGCAGAGGAGAGGGATGAGAGGGAGACGAAGATGGAGAGGAGAGAGAGAGATGACCGATCTATCTAACTCTTATTTGTTTTTTTTTTCTAAATGAGGTGGTCTATGACTATAATTTGCTACTTTCGGGTTGGGCCTAGAGTTGGGCCCTTAGAAATAAATTATAAATGTGATTATTTTTTGTAGTGGGTTAACTATTATGTCAATGCTATTACATGAAAAAAATTTGCTAGAGCGTGGTGTCACTTGGCACCACCCTACATGAGGTAGCTCCGCCACTGCATGGTTGGATATTGTCATGTGCGTGTCAAGCTGTATTGCAATGGGCTATCCTTGATGGTTCGAAGTCAATTTTAGAGACAACTTTTAGCAACATCTATGATTTGAGGAGTTACTATAGCTTGGATTCTTGTAGTGGAGTCTAAAGATGTTATCCACCATCGACAAATTAAATTGTTAATCACTTAATCATGCTGGACGTAAGAACGAGTCTTGTATCAAGCTTTGAATTGTCCAAGACTAGAGTTCTTATCAACTCTATTACTCTGTCACTAAGACCAAAAAAAACTTAAAAGTTCGACGAAAGTCTGGACTGTGTGATACTCTTACTTGCTCGTCACATATTTTTCCATGGAAGCTACTTTTTTTCTGAAATTCTTGTGGCAACGAGACAATTTGAATTTACAGTTATCCATGACCAATACTGATTTAGTAGAAGAATCCCAATTGCAGACATATGAGCGTTAGTATGAGCTATAGAAATGTGTACTTATATAAGTCACACATGTTACCAGTGGTCGCCATTACTGTGAAGTCTTGGTTAGATTTGTAGATAAATGCACTTAAACTAGTAATATCACAAATTAGTGGAAGTTACCATATACCAAATCTGTGCTTCTAATAGACCATAACCACCTTTGATGGACTACTTGCAGAACTATTAAGTACATCTGTGGATGAAAGAGCTAATTTCTCATAAGATTTTGAGGGAATGAAGTTAAGGGGTCCTATGGATATGCATGATTAAAACGATATCTTTCGCAAGTTCTTGGAGAGGTTTATGCACTTGAGTGAAATGCCTGACATCTTACAAATCATTGTCTGATAGGGAATTTTTTTAATTCTGTAGTACATATATAGATCTTGGAATCTGGTAAGCTACTAACTAAGTGCCATCTTCCAACTTCAAATACACTCAGTCTCTCTGTTTGAGCATGTTATTGTAGACTCCCAGAAAGGGCATACGCTTATACGTAATGGACCTTCAACAGATTTTTGCAATTCTTTATCTGTTTCCTCTCTGTAGATTTTAGTCTTAAATTATTAATTCCAAGAAAAACATATATGCATGAGGAAAGTCTATGATCCATCTTTTATGTACTGAATTATTAGTATATCCAGGTTTCGTCATAACAAACATTTTTATGTCCTTAGGACACCCAGTTTTAGCTTTTGTGTCATGGCTCATCTGCTTGATGCAGAGATTTAGAACAGCAGAAGTGAGACATTTGAACTTGTGTTCTAATCATGTCAGGTGTCATGGCAGATCTATGAGCTGAGGATCATAACTGCATCCCATTTAGTGGAAAGTATTTATAAGTAAAATTATAGCCCTGTCTTATCTCTCCAGTCTCTTCCTAGTAGGATGAATTGCCAGTGCTTTGCTGATAATCCTTGCAATCAGGATGTGATTATCAGGTTACCAATAGCTATTAGGTTTATCAATCTTTATGTAACTAAAGCTTGTTTTGATTCATGAGCTGCAAATTAAGGCGAGCTTTATAAAATATTGCATCAAACATCTCAAGCCTTTATCTAAATCTTTGAGTTGTAGCTTGCAGGATAGTGTAGTTTTTAACTTTCAAAACTTTCAGGATGTTAGAAAGTGAGCTATCTTTGAAGGTTATTTTGCAGTTTGTATTTTGAGTTGTCAGTTTATTTATTCTTTTCTTTCTTCTAAATTTATGATGTGATTAACTATTGTGATGGAAATACTAAGCTTTTCAATTGGTAAATATTGTTTGTTTATGTAGAGGAAGTGTGATCTTAAGCATCCACCTGGTGATGAAATCTATCGCAATGGCACCCTGTCTATGTTTGAGGTGAGCCTTCCATTTGATTCTGAATGAAGACTATATCTTTGTCCGAAGCAAGCATAGATATGTTCTAAACATCTGGTGACTTTTTGATACGTATGGTTGAAGTTACCATGTTAATTCACGCACTGTGGTGCTTCTACATTGTGCTCTTTTACTTTGGTACTTCAAAGTTTGTCACTGGCCATTCACTCTATGGTTTGAGAGCATGCAGGCATAGGCTATACATTTTTGTCAGTTTGTCTGACAGAATTGTTTCAACAGGTTGATGGCAAGAAGAACAAGGTTTATGGGCAGAATCTATGTTATTTGGCAAAATTGTTTCTTGATCACAAAACACTTTACTATGACGTTGATCTATTTCTATTTTACATTCTTTGCGAATGTGATGATCGAGGATGCCACATGGTTGGGTATTTTTCTAAGGTAATAATTTCAGTGGACACTTATTTGACCGAAATACCTGCATTATCTTTTGCGTGTGTGCCTGTGCACGTTGCACCATGGGATATCTTTGTTAGAAGAGCTTCTTTTATGAATGATATTTTAGAACTTCATTTCAATTTTTCTTGTTTTATGCAGGAAAAGCACTCCGAGGAGTCCTATAATCTGGCCTGCATTCTTACCCTTCCTCCATACCAAAGGAAAGGCTATGGGAAATTTCTGATTGCATTCTGTAAGTCCAATCGTGTTATGCTTGTTTTTTCCTTCTTCATTAATAATATGAATAAGTTAGCCACTTCTTCTGATGCTCTTGTTAGCATGATATGGCTGCACTAAGTAGTGGCTTTCTTTTTTGGGATTCAATGATAGTTAGCCATTTTTGTTTGTATTTATTTTGTATAGTCCATTAACATGAGAAATTGATCTGCCAATTCAGTTGCATGTTTTTAGAATAATGTCACCTAGAATATACCTACCTATAAAGAAATACGAGTAGCTGGCAGTAAGAAAGAAGGTGTGTGATGATCAACTTGAGGGCTACTAATATTAAATTAAACACACTTAAAATAACAGTAAACAGCAAAGAAACATATGGAAGGTAGAAATTAAGTTATTAAGTTTATTGAGAACAGTACAAAATAACGATGAAGATACTTCTCGAAAAGCTAATGGGAAATATTTTTTTAGACAGTTATAGTGCATTATCACAGATATATTTGATAGGTATCTTAATATTAAGTACAAATCAAGGTACATGTTTTGAATAGATTAGTTTAATCAATATGGCAATGCAATTCCTTTTGGCCTTTTGGCCTTTTGGCTTTATTGTGCCTTACATTCAGATGTGAATCACTGTGGTATCCTATTCTAATTTCCCACCTCTATTCCTTTCCTTTTTAACTCTTATCTTCCACAATTCCTCGTTCCCTTCTTCCAATATCTGTTCTTTAACCACTTTTTCTCTCCAAAGTAGTTGATGGGCGAAAAGGAGCAGAGGCGAGTAAAGAAGAATGGTGGCCATATTAACTTTATCATGCCATTTATGTCCTTTAAATGTCATGTCATTACGTCCTCCAAGTGTCATATGGTCATTAAAAATTAAGGTCAATTTTCGTATGATGCCATTAGTACTTAACATAGTTGCACGAAATATGGTTCTTGCTGGTTCAGAGGACGGGAACATGCCATTTATTAGGAATCAGGTACAAGTGGGATAGGCTTACACGGTATGCTGGGGAACGTGGCATGTTTTAGGTTTGGTTTTTAAATGTAGGAATCTGAAGTTTTCCAAGAATCAAATTTAAGGACTATGCTAGTTGATATCAGTAGATAAAAGAACCTTGAGAATCGTGTGGCAATTTAGATATGCATACTTTATTTGCTTAATTTCTCATTCTTTTCTTGTCTGGATTGTTACAAATATAAAAACTTGAAAAAAGATATTTTTTTAACTTTAACCGGTTTGAATCTTGAATTGGGTCGGTGGAGTTGGTGAACTGGACTATTAAACATGGGTCGTGCTTTGCTATAGCACCTCACGTTCCCGACGACTATGGTACTTAACATGGAGGCATGTTTCCTGCTTTTTTCTAGCATTGATACCCAGGATCTTCAAGTTTTAGTATTTGTAACAATCCAGACATCCAAGAGAGATTTAAAATTATAAATTATATTCATGCTTCAAATTGTCTTATAATGATAAATCCCCATTCTATCGGTGCTATGTCATCCAATTCACTTATAGTACTATATTTATTCCACACGTGAGGGTCCATTGAATGCCCCTATGTCTCATTCTTCAGGCTTAAATGTGACACATACTAGGCAAAAACACCACTTTCTTCCCTTATTGAACTTCAAATAACACCACTTCCTTCCCTCATTGAACTTCAAAATCAGACTTGTCAAGTGAATGTATGGACACCCTGTTGTTTTCTTTCTAAGTTTTGGGAATCAGACGTGGGCCAACTCTGATGATGCTTCTGTCATCCAGATTTTAAATATTCTTCTGTGGTTATTACTGTTCATATAATGAGAACCTATAGTGAATGCTAATTTTTGGCAACAACTAGAATGCTCCCAGTAAATAGAGTAAAGCATGGGAAAAGTATTTCTCCTGTTGCCAATTAATTTGGGAAACTTGTTACTCTTTCTTTTCTTTGCTTTTTTTCACCTTCCCTTTGTGTGTGTGTGGGTTTTCCTAGTTTATAAGTTCACATCAATGCATAGAAGTATGCCCAGAGTTTTCAGACACAGACAATATTCTTGAAACATTTTCTCTGATGAACATTGAAGCTCATACTTGCGAGGAGGAAGATGAGACAAGAAATATTTGTCATTTTCTTAATTCAGTGCACTATACTACGTGTTTATAGTCAAAAAATGTACTTAAGTTAATATCTATTCCAAGCAGCATATGAACTTTCAAAGAAGGAGGGCAAAGTGGGTACACCAGAGAGACCACTTTCAGATCTTGGACTTTTAAGCTACAGAGGATACTGGACTAGAGTTCTCATAGAAATCCTGAAAAAACATAAAAGCAACATTTCCATCAAGGTATGCAATGATTTTCACTTTTCGACATCTTTCCATGCTTTTCCATAGGCGTTCTTTCTAAAGTTCAATTTTTTTTGACACATTGCAATCTTAGTAATCATCATGAGGCTAATCCATACACTTTCTCATGTCCAGAAATACTCATTTTGAACCTAATCCATACACTTTCTTATGTCCGGAGATAGTTTTTCCATGTATTTTTCCACTGTTAATTTCCCTTTTTCTTTTTCCATATTCTGCCTGCCAATTTTACAATGTTTGCTGGCCTACAGCCTACTTCTACTGGATTTTTATAATAACATTAATGTGCTCTAGGATTTGACCAGGTGCACCTTAGTTTGTGTATCAGCCTTCTTCTGGGAGAAAGCATGTCACTTCTTTTTCTCTCTTTTGTGGAAGCAATTTTGGATGAATAATTAAACTTCTTTTTCTCTCTTTTGTGGAAGCAATTTTTGATGAACAATTAAACAGCATAGCGTTTATCTATCTTTTTGGAAACTTCCTTTTTTCCTGTTGAATTATGTTATATTGCTAATTAAAGCCAAGAATGAACAAAAGCAGTCAACTCCTGCATATTTGGCTGTTGGATTTGTCTGTGTAGTCTTCCATCAGACTGACTGAAAGGAGTCAACTCTTTTACAGATATAGATTTGGGATAGACAGTCTCTTTGAGCATTGTCCTCTATGTTAGTTCATTGAGAAAAAGTGGGTTGCCATTATTGTAATTACAGTGTCTGTTTCACTGTCATCAGCTTGTCCACATTTCTTCCTCCATATATCTTTTCCATCCGATTAACCTTGGGAATCAGCAAGAATTCCCTAATACTACTTTTTGTAGATTTGACCTCTAGTATACTATGCACGTAGCTTTGTATGTGCAGATACTACTCGCTTTTAGTACCAACAACTGGGTTTTACTAAATTTCAAGTGGACAGATGTGTTTGTCACTCAATGACATCATTGTTTAGTAAACGAATTGTTCTCTCACCGAAACGAAAGCAAAAGTTAATTGGTCCCATCAACCTTTTTGCGTGCCATAGTTACTCTGGAAATGGAGCTATCAGATATTGATCTCAGGATTACCAAACCAGCAAAAAGAGTCAGTCATGCGTGAACAAAAATTAATTTCCAATAGGCTTGAAAATGGGCGTTGGTGCATTCTGGCTTTCTATTGTAGGTCTGTTTGTCACGATGTAATCTTTAGGATTTCATCGAAAAAGTAGGTCTCCATGTTAATACCTTTGTCTGAAGCAAATTCCTCTCAAAACTTTCTTGTTTGTTTTGTGGGGGAATCTGTTGGGAAAAGTAGTTGGATTTTATTGTCATATTGGCAAAATCCTTTATTAGAATTCCTATTCTCTCAAAAGGATACAGGGGGGAAATTGCGACTCAGCTTTCCATCCCACCAAAAAAAAAAAAAGAAAACAAAAGATTTGAGATTGAATTTTGAAGAAAGTTGAATATCCCAGATATCTAAAACTAAAAATCTATCATCCAAAATTTCTCTTGGTCTACAGGAGCTCAGTGATCTGACGGCAATAAAAGCCGATGACATCCTGAACACTTTGCAGAGCCTTGACTTGATCCAGTACAGGAAAGGGTCTCACGCGATATGCGCGGACCCGAAGGTTCTTGATCGCCACCTCAAGGCTGCTGGTCGAGGTGGTCTGGAGGTCGATGTTGCTAAGTTGATTTGGACTCCTTACAAGGAACAGGGTTAGACTGGTTTTTGTGGGATTTTATTCTACTTGTTGACACATTCAGCTTGTGTGTAAATTGATAGACAATAATGTTTCGTCATTGACTGATCTTACTTTATAGGCAGACACGCTTGTATGTGAGATTTTTGTTATAGTGTAGCCTGTTAAATGTAAAAAAAAGAAAGTTGGAGATGACGAGGTGTGTGCGTGCGCTTTTCCCTTTTTCGTGTTTTTCAATTAATTAATTACTTTAGTTATTATTTAACTTTTTTTAAAATTTTTCTACTGTATTTTTGTTTTTATTTTTAAGTTGTTTTTTAGACAAAAGACAAGCATGGCGTTGAACATAGGATTCCCAGCATTCAGCTCCCATCACCAATAATACCACTAGTTAATCACGTCAGCAAAGATTTTTCAGTGGCATTGAATGTGCTGATTGTCTTTTGTGACTTCTTTTGTATGTTCGTTCATTTAATATATTCCGTGAACAATTTGGATGAACCCAAAATATTTGAAGATGAAGGTTTTGTTGTTTCTGCTGTTTCTGTTATTGGTTTAAATGCAAAGATAATTCAAGTGTTCGAAGGCTCTTACTTCGCCAAAAGCTCAATTGGAAGTCTGTTAAATCTCAGTCCTTTCTAGTTGGGAGGTATCTAATTACTTTTTTTTTTAAGGCACAAATAGCTAAATGGACTGTTGTAGCCATATGTTGCTGCATTTTCTAGTTACATCTAGGGTTGTTTGTATCAAGAAATGTGAATGTTGATAGCATTCGGGTCCTCTCCGATTAGCAAGAAAAAAATAACATGCAAAGTGACCCTCTTCTTATTTTCTCATTATTTGGTGCGTTTATTGAGAAGGAAAATAACATGTTTAATAAAATAGATCCTGGGCAATGAATGCTTGTTTATTTATTTATAATGTAAACATGGGATGAGAAGGGCTGGCGATGGCATTAATCAAGTATGGGCCACAAAACATGGGATTTCCAGGTAAAAGTTCGAATATTTACACTGTCCTGCCCTTGCTCTGCTGACACTGTCAGCTTTCTTGCTTTCTTAGCTGTAGCTAGCTTATGTCACATCATTTTCTATACAGGGGCCATTTCTCATATTGGACATAAGGCGGATAGTTAGAGCATCTCTAAGGGATCCCTTGGATGTCCCTTATTTTAGGAGGAACTTTAAGGAAGGGGTTGGTTCTCCTCCAATGGTTCCCTCTTAAAAGTTCTTTACCCCTTAATTAATTATATTTAGTTTTTTAATTTTATAGATTATGATTTAATTAAATATGTGGTTTATTTATAAATAAATAAATAATTAAATATTAATAACTAAAAATAATTAATTAATTAATTTAAATTAAGAAATTACCTTATATAATCATTAAATTAATTAATCATATTAAAATTTAACAAATAATTAACTTAGATAATAATTAATTATACATTAACTGAATTATATTAACAAATAGTTATATTATTTTAAATTAATTATACATTAACTAAATTTAATTAATTATAAATTAATTCTAAAATAAAATATATTATTATAAAATTATAAGAGAAAGGTTAAGGGACTTTTTAACCTTCCTCTTAATTTGGGGAGGAAGATAAGGGACTTGGGGGTGAAGGGGAAAATTTCCGGTCCCTTAGAGCCGAAACCCCTTAAATGTCCCCTAATTTAGCTAAGGGGCCGGATTTCTCCGGCCCCTTAGAGATGCTCTTAGTATCAACAGTTGAGATCTAAGCATAGGGCTGTCAAACAAGCCCGAAGCCCGGACCCGGCCGGTTGTCCGGCCCGGCGTCAAGTATGCCTAAAGCCGGCCCGGCCCGGGAAAACCGACCGGGTCCGGCGGCCCCGGCGCCCGCGTCGCGTGGTGAACCCTGTCCGGGCCCGGCCGGGCCGGAACAGTGCCAAAATTGGCACTGGTTCTTCGATTGGCCGCGGCCGGGCCGCGACCGCGCCCGGCCCGTGCCCGGCCATAACGGTCACAAGCGTGACCGTTGCCAGGGCCGGGCCGGGCCAGCCCGGCCCGGCCGGGCCGAACGGTCACGAAGGTGACCGTTTGGCCGGGCCGGGCCGGGTTGGTCCGGCCCGGGCCGGCCGGGTCTGGTCGGCCCGGCCGGGCCAATCTGGCCTAACGGCCAGATTTGGCCTTTTGACCGTTTTGCCCTTAAAACGGTCAAAAACGGCTATTTTTGAGGGTTTTTTGGTCATTTACCTAGGGGGCTGGTTCTATAAATACAGAGGGGGGTTCAATTCATTTTCTCACAACAAAACTGCATCTATTTCTCTCTTCTACTACTCTCTTATACAATCTTATACTATCTCATACTAATATACTATCCTATAATCTTTTGTATTTTCTAATACTTCCAACAAATGGCTTCTGGGTCTGATTATGAAGAGCAACATGCAACTCCTACCGATCCAGAGATGAGTCCTCCTACAACAACTCCTCATCCTACCGGTGTTAATCCTGAATCTGGTGGCGACGAATCTACGGCACCAAGAGCTCCAAAAAGGCCGAGGTCTGATGTATGGAATTTTTTTGAGAAGATAGACGTCACCAAGGATGAACACGGTAGGATCATCTCTCAGAATGCGAAATGTGCGTTGTGCGGCCAGATATTCAAAGCTCATCATAAGAGCGGCACCAACCATCTCAAACGGCATATTGAAAAACACAACAAAGGCCAAAATCTACAAGGTGATATCCGGCAGTCTATGCTTTCCCAATCATCCTCTTCAGGTACCCTCGGCAGTTGGAATTATGACGCTGCCCGAGCCCGGAAATGCGTAATCAGGTTTATTGTTCTTAAAAACCTTCCTTTTAAATTAGTAGAAGATGATGAATTTGAAGATTTATTTAGAGATGGTTTTTATCCTGCATTTACAAAATTTTCTCGTCAAACCTGTCAACGTGATATTTTAAAATATTATGTTGAGGAACAGGGAAAAATAATTTCTTATTTTAAAAATTTAAACTGCAAATTTTCTTTAACTTCTGATATTTGGTCATCTAGAGTGCAAACTGGTTATTTATGTATAACAGCACACTGGATTGATGAAAGTTGGAAAATGTTTAAAAGAGTTGTTTCTTTTATTGCAATTGAAGAGTCACACACTGGTATTAATGTTGCAAATTTAATTGTTGAAGAACTTATGAAACTAGAAATTGATCAAAGAATATTTACTCTTTCACTAGATAATGCAAGTAATAATAATGTAGCTGTTGATTTTCTGAAAATAACTTTGTCATTGCCATGTCATGGTGAGCTTTTTCATGTTAGATGTATCTGTCATATTTTAAATTTAATTGTTCAAAGTGCATTTTCTGAAATTAAACCCATGATAGAAAAAGTTAGAACAGTTACTAATATGCATAATGCTTCTGAAATGAGAATTAAAAGATGGAAACAATGTTGTAAAAGAAAAAATTATAAGCCTAGACTAATTCCAAAAGATGTTGACCATAGGTGGAATTCCACCTATGCAATGTTATCTGTAGCAATAGAATATAAAGAAATTATAAATGATTTTATAAATTTTTATGCTTCTAGTTCTAGCTCTGGTAGTGCTTATGGAATAACTGAAGATGAATGGACAGTTATATGTAAATTAAATGAGATGTTACAAGTTTTTTATGATGCTACTATGTTATTATCTGGTTGTTATTATCCAACTATTACTTTAGCTGCTTTACAAATTTTAAATATTCAAAAATTTTTTGCAAAATATCGTATGGATGATACTTTTGGAAATATAATTTTTCAAATGGAGAGTAAATTTAATAAGTATTTTAGGCCTATTCCTCATATTTTTGGTATTGGTGTTCTTATTGATCCATGCTTGAAGGAAATTGGCCTTCGAAGTTTGTTACAATCATTGTATGGTGGACAGATTATAGACTTAGATGATGGATCCACCCTTACTGCTACTACTCATTATTTAGCTATTAGAAATTATTTTCAAACCTTATATGATGAGTATGCAGCTAGATATGGTGTAGCTACACAACAGTCTTCAGCTTCGGCACCTTCAGCTTCGAGCACAGGTCGAGGTAAAAGTGTAAGTTTTGATAGGTATGCAATGGTAGCTGAACTAACTGGTGGATCTGGAACTTCATCAGGATTAGATGTTTCTGAAATAGATGAATATTTTTCTGCTTCTTTAGTTAGATGTCAAGGAAATGCTTTAGATATTTTGCAATGGTGGAAAGTATATGGATCAGTTTCATATCCTATACTTTCCACCATGGTTCGTGACTTACTATCAGTGCAGGTTTCGACTGTAGCCTCGGAATCCGCTTTCAGCACAGCAGGACGTTTGATCGACGACCACAGGACATGCTTAGATCCGTATACTGTACAAGCGGTGATGTGCTTACAGGATTGGTGGAGATACGAGAAGCGAACACAAGGCATCGAACGGATTGCTATGATTGAAGATAAATTTGAAGAGTTGGGACTAGCAGATAGATATAATGATTAGATAATATTCATAAAATTGTAATTTTTATTTCTTAGCTTTAAATTTGAATTAAATTATTTCGAAAAAAGTTGCAAATGATAGTGATATGGGTGAGTAGGTGCCAACCTAGTTGGGATGTACTCATCTATTGTGATGCGACGAATTTCGAAATAAATTTATACTTGTAAAGGATTTACCGATTATTAATAAAGAAGTTATTTTTATCATTTTTTGTACTTGTAATTTATGTCATTTCATTTCAAGTTATTAATAAAATTTATGACATTTTTTATAATAATTTATAATTTATGGTTTTGTTAAAATTTAAAAAAATAAAAAAAAACAAAAATTAAAAAAAAAAATCAAACCGGGCCGGCCCGGTGTCCGGCCCGCTCAGGCCCGGGCCCGGGCCCGGACCCGGCCCGGACCACCCGGGCCCGGGTCCGGGCTTGGGTTTTGCCCGGCCCGGGCCCGGTTTTCCGGGCCGGGCCGGGCCGGGCCGGGCCGGATGGACAGCCCTATCTAAGCATTACCCTAGTTATAAACCATAGGGGGGGTGGGGGGAAGAAGAAGAAGAAAAGGAGGTGAGTTTGCTCATATAAATGTCGTATGGGTTGAAGGGAGATGTCTGAATTTCTCGTTGGTGTTTTTGTGAGTTTTTGGAAGAACACTGTAGAGAAAGAAATATACCGTTCTTCACAAATGGACGAGGTTGTTTCA